TCCCGGGGGATGGGGCTGACACGGGTGTCCCTTATTTTGTGGCATGGTTCCGACCCCTCTGTTCCCTTTTCCCGGGGGATGGGGCTGACACGGGTGTCCCTTATTTTGTGGCATGGTTCCGACCCCTCTTCCCTTTTCCCGGGGGATGGGGCTGACACGGGTGTCCCACATTTTGTGGCATGGTTCCGACCCGGCTGTTCCTGGGGGATAGGGCTGACACGGGTGTCCCTTATTTTGCGGGATGGTTCCGACCCCTCTGTTCCCTTTTCCCGGGGGATGGGGCTGACCCCGCTGCCCCGCATCCCCCGGGACGGCTGCGGTGTGGCTGTTCCGTTCTCCCAGGGGGTGGCTCTGTCCCTGCTCTCCCCCATCCCCTGGCACAGCTCTGATCTCGCTATCCCTGTCCTTTGGTATGCCTCTGTCCCTGCTCTCCCCCATCCCCTGGCACGGCTCTGATCTCGCTATCCCTGTCCTCTGGTATGGCTCTCACCCCGCTGTCCCCCATCCCTTGGGGTAGCTCCGACCCGTCTGGCCCAGTTGTCCCCCTGGCATGGCTCTAACCCAGCTGTCCCCTTTTCCGGTGTGGTGGCACTGCCCCCGCTGTCCCCCATCCCCTGGGGAGCCTCTGACCTGGCTGTCCCCATCCCCTGGAGCAGCTCTGACCCGGTGTCCCCGTCCCCAGGAGCCGGAGCAGAGGCTGTGGGAGGCCGAGCGCCGGGAGCGAGCCCTGCGCGGCCGCCTGGCCTGCCTGGAGGAGCAGAACCGCCAGCTCCTGGGGCAGCTTGCAGAGAGCCAGTCCCAGGAAGGTGGGTGTCCCCGTGGGTTTGGGGTCCCCTGGTTCCACAGGGTGTTTCTGTGGAGTGGTAGGGTGGGTGCAGGGCTGAACCTGTTCTTCTGGAGCCTGGAATGCTGCTCTCCTTTCTTTCACCTTGGAGACCTGTCCTAGCAGGGAGCATAGGCAGCACCTTGTTCTGCAAACCACAGGGATCCCAAACCTCCAGAGCACCTTGAAAGCCCCAAGGAGAGTGGTGGAGGCAGGCACAGGCTGCTGTGGTAACCCAAGGATGTGCTAGGAGCAGTCTAAAACTCTCACTTCCCTTCTTTCCGCTGTGAGATTACCAGGAACAAGTCAGACTTTACAGAAGCACTGAGAAGCTTCATAGCATAGTGGGTTTGGGGGAGTCCCTGGGGACTCTCGCTCCTGTCCACCCTGTCTGGTCTCAGACAGCACAGCACGGAAGGAGCGGGAGGTGATGCTGCGGCTGAAGGAGGTGGTGGACAGGCAGAGGGATGAGCTCTGTGCCCAGGCCCACGAGATCGTCTGCAAGAGCCGGGACACGGAGGCGGTGAGGGCGTTGGGAGCTCAGGGGTGTGGTGTGCCAAGGGCCTGGGGACCTGCTTTTGTGTCACATCTCCCCCTGGGCTGTCACAGCTGCTGGGGCAGGTGGCACTGGTGTCCCTGGCTGGGGGCACTGCCTCACCTTTGGCTGCCCTGGGCCCTCCAGCTGCAGGAACAGCTCCATCGCTTCATGGCCATGAACGAGGAGCTGCGGCACAAGGTGGCCGTGGTGCAGGCCCAGCTCAAGAGTGCCCTGGAGCAGAAATCAGACCTGGAGGCTGCGCTGCTGCAGAGCCAGAGGGAAACGAGCAGGAGGAGCAGGACAGCCCTGGAGAGCCGGCAGCCAGAGCCTGGTGTGGTGAGTCTGAGCTGTGGCCTCACTGCTGCTGGGCATCACCGACACCGACCCCCCACTCCCAGCCTTGCGTGGAGCTTTTGGCACACCCAGACGTGGCTACTCAAGGCAACCCCACTGCTGAAAACTGAGCAGTGTGGTGTCTGCAGTCAGTACCATTAGCACCTTCTCTGTAAAAGCTGTTATGGGTGGAGCAAGATGAGGTGGTGGGAGTTAAAGCTAGATGGGACCCAGAGGATGACGTGTGGTGATGGCAGTGGTTGCTGGCTGAGATGGGGACATTCCTGGGACTTTTCCATTTTTGCCCGCATGTGCACTCAGCCTTTGGGTGGGGTTTTTGAGGTCTCTGCTTGCCTGCTGACTCTCTTTCCGTGCCCTCCAGGAGGGAGCCCTGTCACCCTCAAAGGAGCCGCAGCACCAGGATGGGGACAGGAGCCCTGCTCACTGCTGCTTCTCCAAGGAGGAGCTGCAGCAGATCCTGCAAGAGAGGAATGAGCTCAAGACCAACCTGTTCTTGGTGCAGGAGGAGCTGGCCTATTACCAGAGGTGAGTACTGTCCCTGGAGCCACCCCTGACCCATCAGAGGCTGCTCCCACCACAGTCAGGGCAGAATCTTCCCCAGGCTCTTGGTTAACCAACTGGCTGCTTTTTTACCAGGGAGCTGCTGAACGAGGAGAGAATTCCCAGCTTCTTCCTAGATGCAATGAAGTCAAATATCAAAAAACAGAGGAAAAAAATCAGAGCCAAAATGCTGGGAACGACAGAGGAGTCGGCAAGCAGGTGAGTCGGGCTGGGTGCTGGGATCCTCCCGTGCAGGGGGGGGGTGCTGGCTGGCCTGCTGCAGTGTTTCCATGTGTTTGATGCCCTGGATTAGAATTTCCCCAAGCCCAGAGCTGCCTCCTCCCTCCAGAGATCAAAGGTTTGATATCTGCAGTTGATGTGTTGCTCTGGCATAGCTATGCCACAGGGGCTGGGCTTTGTGCTGCAACTCATGTGTCCCTGTCACCAGTCAGGCATGGCCTGGCCAAATGCCACTTGTCCTTGCATGCATGTGACAAAAGGGAGGCGAGGTGGTGGCACTGGGAGCACTGGACAAACTCCTGAGTGGCTCCAGCACTTGGTGCTGTGGCTCAGTGCAGGTTTACCCCCATTTCTTTGTGCAGTGATGAAGAGGAGGGCTCCTGGCTCCCAGGTCATGGCACAGACTGTATGGATGCTCAGCCTCCAGACTCCAAAATTAGGAGCTTGTAAGTTTGCTCCTGGCAGGGATGGGAGGCTCTGCCAGTAGAGAGGTTTGGGATTTGGCTGGGACCTGGCACCTGTTGAGCTTTGATATGATGGGAACAGTCAGCAGGCTGGTGCAGGGATGCTGCCAAAACAGGAGTTGCTGTTTTAGGGGGAATCTGCCTTGTCCTGGGTGCCACATACTCCCAGGCCCGCAGCCAGGCTGTGTGCTGCTGCCACTACCACAGCGGGAGGTTGGGATTCCACATCCTCCCTGGGGAGATTCTTCTCCCCCACAGCTCTTATCTGCTTTCTCTGCAGTTTTGGGCTGTGGTATCAGGGCAGTAGCAAAGATCCCCCCACATCCAGCTGCTCCAGAACCTGGGAAATCATTGACTCGCTGGACAACACGCAGCTGGAGCCAGAGGGAGAGAGCAAGGCAGGGTCCAGCTGCCCTGACAGAGCCACAGCACCACTCTGACCCCACGGGAATGGGAGCAGGATCTGTCCTCGCAGCAGAACTCCCTGGATCCTCTTCTTCCAGTGGATTGAAGAGCAGCACAGCAGCCCTGGCACTTCCCCGTGCCGTGGTGATGGCAAAGCCACAGTGTGGGCAGGTTCCTGCAAACCCACTGGGACTCTTGGATGTGGGCTGCCAGCCTGGCATGGGACAGCTCAGCACCTCTGGGCATCTCTGCCCACCAGCCACCCTTTCACTGTGACCATGGATTAACTACAGAGGGGCCCTCACAGCTGTGCCCCCTCCCCACTGCTCCCTGCTTGCAGCTCAGCATGGTGGGGGTCTGCACCCTCTTCCTTCTCCACATCCCAAAAGGGATCTGCCCATCCCCTGGTGGCTTTTAGCAAACCCCTCTGCTCACAGCCCACGGTTCCATTGCCCCATCCTGCTCTGTGGGTGTTTTACCTCACCTCTTTTTGTCTGTAGCTCCCCAATCCCTGCAATGTGAAGGTCCAGTTGGGCTGTCCTGGGGTTCCCACTCAGCTGGGAGGGGCTGAGCACACTGCACTGGGTGTCCAGGTGCTCCTGTGGCTGGGAGCCATCAGGATGTGCACCACCAGGGCCACTCCTGCACTTCTCAGGCATGGGGTGAATCAGTTTTGTTCTGGCACCTCTTCCTGCCACCTCTGGGACCTGGCAGACTGGAATAATCCTTGTGTTCATGGGGGTGAGTCAGTCCCCTCAGATCAGGTACTTTCGACCTTTAATTTGGAAATAAATCAGTCTCTTGTTTTTCCTCTGAGGTTCTGGCTGCAGCCTCTGCTCTCTGCTTGGGAAGGGCTGGGTGATGCTCTTAGATTTCCCTTACCCTTCTCCTAATGGCTGTGCCTCCTGAGCCCCTTCTGGTGGCTCAGCTGTGATGGAGAGGGGTCTCCAGGGGGGGTGATCCCACAGTGCTGGGCATGGAGGAGTTAATTCCTGCACGGCCAAGGGGAGCACTGTGCTTCTAACCCGGAGCCCCCCTGGCTGAGCTGGCCTCGGGTAGGAAAAAGGTGTTTCCTGTGCATCTGCTGACACAAAGCTCCTGGGGACGTGGTGAGGTGGGACAGTGGCCAGCAGCCCTTCAAAGGCCAACACGGGTCAGGCTGTGTTGCCGTGGGGGACATGGGGACCCCTCCTCTGAGCCCTTGCCTGGGGCTGGCAGTGCCATGGGGTGGCTGATGGGGGTTGAGGCAGGGGGTGGCACTGGATGCCTTGTTTGGGCTGGGGGGATGTTGGCTGGAGGAGTTTTGGGGATGATGGAGGATGGCACAGGGGAAGTGGGGTGACATAGGTGAGATGTTCAGGCAGGTGCCAGCCCCTTTGTGGCTGTGTTGAGCCCCCAGATGCCCCTTTCTGTGGCAGGGTGGCAGCCAGGGCCAAAAATAGCCCAGGCAGCAGCAGCATTCCCTGCTTCCCTGACGTCTGGATCGGGGCGCCTCCTCCCGCATTTCCTCAGGAAGAAACCCAAGGCTGGAGGGAGGAAGAGGCCGCCCCACGGGTGGGACGGGACAGACGGGACAGAGGGACACCAGCGTGGGGCTGGGGAGCCACCAGGACTGGGGCCCTGGTGCCCTGCTGGAATGGAGAGCGCCCGGCCCATCCTCTGCCTCCAGCTGTGGCTGTGGGTGCAGAGCTCTGCCCAGGAGCTGGACCCTGAGGGCAGGAACGTCTGCAGGTAGGTGCCACCGGGGTCCCCACTTGTGCCACTCCATCTCCTGGGGCCTCTCAGCAGCCCCATGGGGTTGTTGTCCATCCCTCCTCGCATGGACAGGGATGTGCAGCCTGGCACAGCGTGGGTGCAGAGACTGGGCTGCTGCTGGGGAGCGTGGCTGGGGCATGTCTGGGTATTTGGGGCATCAGATCCCTTCTCCAGGGTTTATTTCTCATTCACCCTCGGCATGCAGGGCAACAGGGCTATATGGGACCCTTGGCAAAATTCATCGTGGGGAAGTGTCACTGTATCAAACCCCTAAGAGTTTTGGGACTGGTGTCCCCTGAATTTATTCCCACGTTGCCTCTCCCATTGTCTCCCATCAGTTGTGATGCCTTTCGTGGGCTCCACTTCAGTGCTTCATTTCTGCACTGCGGGTGAAGCTTTGAGCCTCTCCCAGGGCATGGGACACCCAGCACGGGACACCCTGCACGGCTCCGTGGGGACATTCCCAGCGCTTCGGGCAGCCCAGCCCAGTGTAGCCGCCCGCTCGGGCTGCAGCCTCCGAAATTTCCTTCTATTTTTCTGGTTTCCTTCCGGAGCGTTGCCCTGGGGGCCAGGCCGGCTTCTCAGCACTGGGGCAAGGATCGCTTCGCCTCGGCCGATGCCATGGAGCCGCCCCGGCGCCCCGGCCCTGGCTGAACCCCCCGGTCTCCCGCAGGTTCCCGGCCGGCCCGGCGTGCTGTCCCGGCTGGAGGCAGGACGGGAGGGCGTGCACGGTCGGTGAGTGAGGGATGGGGGTGAACCCCAAAGCGGGGTCCCCACGCTCACCCGGGCGGATCCTCCGAGTGCTGGGGGAAGCCCTGCAGCCCTCCTTGAGCGCTGTCAGTGGGGTCTCGCCCCGCGGGGACCCCCGGCTGCTGAGCCGGAGGGATGGAGCGGGCAGCGGGACGGTGGTTTCCCTGGGAATGCTGTCCCGGCGGGAGGTGGGTGGCTGGCAGGTGGGCTATGAACCCCGGCCGGAGAGTGCCGAGTGCCTTTCCTGCCACGACAGCCGTGTGCGAGGGAGAGGACGCCTGCAGGGAGGGCGAGGTGTGCCTGAAACCCGGGCTGTGCCGCTGCAAACCCGGCTTCTTCGGAGCAGACTGCAGCTCCCGTGAGTGCCACCCCCGCCCTCAGCCCCTGCCATGCCCCTTGAAAGCCAGCTGGCTGCTCGGGGGGCTGCCGGGCTTCTCCGCATCCTGCCCGTGTCCTTTCCCCCCGCAGGCTGCCCCGAGCAGTACTGGGGCCACGACTGCAAGCGGAGCTGCCCGTGCCACCCCAACGGGCGCTGCGACCCCGTGAGCGGCCACTGCTCCTGCGACCCCAACCACTGGGGAGGGCTCTGCCAGTTCCCCTGCCAGTGCGGCCCCCACGGCCGCTGCGACCCCCTGACCGGCGCCTGCCACTGCGAGCCGGGCTGGTGGGCACCCAACTGCAGGAAGCAATGCCAGTGCAACCCCTCCACCTCGCACTGCGACCCCCTGACCGGGCTGTGCCGCTGCCTGCCGGGCTGGTGGGGCAGGAGGTGCAGCTTCAAGTGCTCCTGCAACGTGTCGCCCTGCGCGCAGGAGACGGGCAAGTGCGAGTGCCTGCCCGGCTTTTGGGGACCGGCGTGCCAGCGGCGCTGCGACTGCGGGCACGGCTCCTGCAGTCCTGCCAGCGGCCACTGCACCTGCGAGCCCGGCTACCAGGGCAGGAGCTGCCGGGAGCCCTGTCCGGCAGGGAAATACGGATCTCAGTGCGTGCACAGGTGAGATGGGGGAGCAGGGAGATCCAGCGGGCTGCAGTCAGATCCAGGGGGAAGGCGCTGCAATGGGGTCTGTCCCTTTGGCTGGGCAGGGAGACCCGTCCTGGGTTTGAGCATCCCAGGTTGGATGCAGCGTCAGCATTGCCCCAAAAGAAACACCTCGCTAGTGCCAGCAGAAAGTCTGGTTGCCACCCTAAAATCTGGTTGTCCTTAATCTCGTTCCCCATGGTGATAAAGCAGAACCTCTCAATTCAGAATATTCTGTGATTCTGCTGCCCTCCTCTTAATACCACAGAGCACTAGGCATCACTGTATATTTCCCCTTGGTCGAAAATTATGCTCAATGATTTGATGGGGTGAAACCTGCTTTTTGTGGGGTGAAACCTGCTTTTTAGGGGTACAAGTTGTGACCTCAGTACCTCTCTGCCCACACAGCTGTGGGAGCTGCAAGCGCAGCCAGCCCTGCTCACCCGTGGATGGTTTCTGCCTGGCCTGCCAGCCCGGCTGGAACGGGACCCTCTGCAAGGATCCCTGTGCTCCTGGATTCCACGGGGATGGCTGCCTCCAGCCGTGTCCCCGCTGCCAGCACGGGGAGCCCTGTGACCCCCAGACCGGGTCCTGCCTGCGCTGTGACCCCGGCTGGATGGGACCCAGGTACGCCCAGGGTGAGGCCCTGGGGGTGTCCCTGCTCTGGGGTGCAGTCACTGATGCTTTGCTCTATTTTGGCAGCTGCAACAACTCCTGCCCCGTGGGCACCTTTGGCGATGGCTGCCAGTTCCTCTGCCCTGAGTGTGTTTCGGGGAGCTGTGACCCCGTGACAGGAGTTTGTATCTGCCAGGCAGGCTACTGGGGAGACAGGTAACGTTAGGAAAATGCTGGGATAATGCTGGGAGTGGGGCTGGGCTGGAGCCTCGCTCTCTCTGGGGGCATTTCCCTCCTTTCCTCTCTCTTCCAGCTGCAACGACACCTGTCCTGAGGGGTATTTTGGAGTGAATTGTTCCTCACCCTGCCAGTGCTCCCGGGGAACCTGCGACCCCGTGCAGGGTGACTGTGTGCTGAGTAAGATGAACCTCACTTTACTCCTTGGCACTGGGCAAGGGATGGTCACATCCTCACTGGGGAAGGTGCAGGGAGGCTGGGATGCATCCTGGTGCCTCCTGGGGAGCTGCCAGCTCCTGCTCTCTCCATGCAGGGCTGTTCTATAGGCGTCACAGCCACAGGACATGCCAGACTCAGCCCATCTCCTCACACAGGTTTGAAGGACCATGGAACCCTTGCAGCTGCCATCCTTGTCCCTCTCCTGCTGCTGCTGCTCTGTGTTGCCTGCTGCTGCTGTGGTGCTGGCTCAGCAGATGCCAGAGACAGGTATTTTTTCACATTTCTCAACATTTGACATAAATCCCCATCTCCTGTGTCCCTTGATGTCCATCTCTGCTCTGCAGGGCGGCTGTGCCAGACGATGATGTGGTGGCCAGGATGAAGCACCATGTGCAGGGGGTGTTGGCCAACCTCAGTGCTCTCATGCCCTGCTTTAACCTGGGGACCTCGAAACTTCCCAAAGTCACAGGTGAGCAAAGGAGAGCTGCTGACAGCACTTCCAGAAGTGCTGCACTCCTGCACTCTCTGCCTGGGGGGAAGCCTGAAACCCCTCTTTCCTGAGCACCCTGGGGTGCTCAGATTCAGCTGGGTGTCTTCTCCTCCCCAGTTTCCCATCACGACATGGAAATCCCCTACAACCCCAGTTTTATCGAGCCACCATCGTCTGCGTGGGTTTCAGACAGCTCCTTCTCCTCCTTTGACACCGACAACGAGGGACCGGAGTACTCCGTCCCTCCCAGAGAAGGTGACGCCCATGGCAGCTGCTGCTCCTCCTCCTCTCTGGTCACCTCTGGGGTCAATCCTGGCAGTGCCGGGGAGCTGCGCTTGGCACAGACTGTGTTTCTTTCCTTGTCCTTGTTTTCCTGTCTGCAGGGCTGTGTTTGGCTGTGTGCGATGGGACGTGCCCAGTGGGGCAACCCCATTTCACAACCTCCTCCCTGGGAAACCATGCCATGCTGTTGCATCAGCTCCTGTCCCAGTGTCCCCAATTCTGTCCCCGGGGAGGGTGGCAGCCGTAACACGTGTCACTTTGTCCCGCAGGCATCCCGCTGCTGGGCGGGGCTGAGCTGCAGGACGGAGCATCCCCTCCCGGCCAGGCGCTCCCGGATCCCTCCGCCTTCGACTCCGAGGATGTCTCGCAGCCCTTCGCCATCCCCCGCACCTCCAGCATCGCCAAGGCCAAGCGACCCTCTGTGTCCTTCGCCGAGGGGACAAAATTCGGGGCGGCCGAGACGCCCAGCCCCAGCAGGAAGCCCAAGGCCCCGTGGGGCCCATCCAGGCTGACCCCACCGCCGGGGGATGCGGCGGCCGAGCCCCCCGGCGAGCGCCCCGCCAGCGACTGCTACGAGAACCCCGAGCCCCTCAGCAAGGGGGACGAAAGCCACCGGCCATCGCCACGGGCCACGCCGGGGGGACGCCGCAGGATGGTGTCCAGCACCAGGCATGTGGCCCAGAGAGTGGAGGCGCTGGAAGCAGCTGCGAAATCCGGCAGCTGGGAAGCCAAGGGGAAGGAAGCCAATGTCACCACCATCTACATGATGGTGGGAACGGCCGGGCAGGACCCCAGGGCGGAGGGGACTGGCGAGGGACGGGTCCAGGCTGTGCTGAAGCGTCTGGGCAGCTTGCAGAGGGGCAAGTGGGCTGCGAAGGAGGAGCCCAAGGTGAGGAGGAGCATGGAGGCCATCCAGAAACCTCCTCGCCGGGCTCTGGCGCAGCGCAGGGACTCGGAGAACAGCTGCAAGCAGAGGGAGAGCGTGCCGGGGGCTCCTGCCGAGTCAGCCCCTGGCAAGCAGCAGCATCCCGCTGCCAAGAGACTGTCCCTCCTCCTGGCATCTCTCTCGTCGAAAAACACCGGTGCCCAGGACGGGGCCAGCGAAACCCTAGGTGCCACAGAGAAGGGCAAAAGCCCGGAGTTAGTCGGCAGCCTCGAAAGGAAGGGTCAGGCTGCCGCGGAGGAAGAGCCGAAATACGAGAACGTGGCCGGCAGCGGTGCTGATTCGCCCTCCGGCCCCGGCAAGGAGCTGCCGGCCGCCCCTGCGGCCACCTGAGCCGGCACCGCCCGGGCTGGGGCCGCGGGAGCCGCCGGGCTCCTCCAGCCCCAGCCTGGGAGAGCCGAGGGCCGGCTCCGAGCTGTGAGCCGGAGAAGCTTCGAGCCTTCCCGGTGACCTCCTCTGCTCTGGAGCCTCGCTGGGGCCGCAGCGGGGACAGCCGGTGGGGTTGTGGTGCTTGAGGGCTGTTTTCTGCTCCTCCCTGCCCTGCCAGCCCCACTTGTGTCTGCACAGCCCCGGGGGACAGCGATGCTCTGGATGCTGTGGTGGCACCCTCAAGTCCCTGTCACCACTAGGGACATGCCCAATGCAGGGCTGCTGAGTGCTCAGCTGGGAAATGTGTGCACAAAATCCAGTTCCACCCCATGGGTTTTCACCTTTTCCTGTCTCAATTCCAGTGATGCAGCTCGAAGCTTCTTGCTGGAAGGGTGTTTCTCACTGAAGGGGATTATTTTGTGGAGCTGGGCTGAGGAGAGATGATGGGCTGTCAAAAGCAGCTTCAGAGAAAATTAATTTTAGCTGCTTGTCTTAAAGGGTATCTGGGTCTGCAGGGGTTTATCTGTGTGGCTCTGGCTTCTGTGGCAGGCCCTGGCTGCTTTTGCTTCCATGTGGAAAAGCTCGTGGCAGGACACAGTGTGTAGTGACAGCTTTTTAAACTCCACACAGTTCCAAGCTGCAGTTGTGCAAACGTGGCAGCTGGGCAGTGACCATCCACCTGTGCACCTGGCGCCGTGCTGATAAGGATGGAAGTTGCCTGGAAAATGGGATTTCCAGGGGTGCCCTAAGCTCCTGCCACCTCCCACGCCTCGTTCCTGCTGTGAAGGCAACTGAGATGCCAAAGAGGATTTGCAGAGTGATCTGGTTTTAGATGTATCTAAGTAGTAGAAGGTTTTGGTGTATTTTTTTTTCTGTTATTTCGCATGGTGTGAAAGCCTTGGAATGAAAATTAAATGCCCTTCAGGAGATGGGTTTCCCAGTTACCCTTTGAGTCAAAGATACTACCAGGAATATTCTCCAGAGTGTGGAAACTGTCAGCAGCCTCAGGCTTGTCATTTGGGAGGTTTTTTTTAGATTTTCTGGCTCTGTTGAATTCTGAATTCTCACTCACTGAGCTGAGCCCTGCGCAGAGCCCTAGACTGGAGTGCAGGAGAAATGTGAGTGGGCTATGAATGTCCAGAGCACCTCTGCTGCAGCCTGCACCTCACACATCATGTGCAGAGCTCCACACAAATCCTTCAGCTGGGGTTCAGGGTTTGGGGTGTTTCAGAAAACACGGTGGGTTTTGCTTTTTCCCTTTTGCTTCCCATGGGTGCTTCTCCATAGCACAAGGCACCAAATCTCCATGGCTGATGTGGCTGAAGTTTCCAGTTTTGCAACCATCACGAAGCACCCTTTCCTGCAGTGGAATCATCTGCTGCTGTGATTATAACACCAAATATTCTGGCATCCAAATAAAACTGCTCATCCTGGCAGGACTGGAGCAGCAGCTTGTTCTGCACGGGCTTGCTTTTGTTTTGACACCATTTTATGACAGCGGCTGGGACAGTCCCACATTTGATTTATAAGCAGCCATTTTTTGTCCCTAATGGGATGTGGATATTTTGAGCCCGTGAGCTGAGCAGTGCTGTGCCAGAAGTGAACCAGCCACGTGAGCCAGTTCACTCTGGGTGCAGCATGTAAATAGCTGAGAACAACCTGACAGCTTCAAACCAGCTCCTGGCTTGAGAAAACGCTGCTGCTGGGAGAACCTTCCATGTCCACGGAGCCAGGATGTTTCCTCTGCTTGAAGATGAAGCAGCTTGGCCGTGTCTGGGCAGTGAAAGGGAAATGAGCTGCAGATTTCCAGCGTGTGGCTGCCCATGCACGCTCCCGCAGCGTGGCTGCGCTGGTGTCTGCTTGCTGGGGATGCTTCCGTCGGCTGTGCTGTGGGGTTAGCTCGGGATGTGGGAGGTCTGAAGGCAGAGCTGGCGGGTGAGGGCAGAGGGAATCTCTTCCCATGCTGGATTTGTGACTTTCCAAAGCTGCTGCGGTGTTTGGAAGGCAGGCAGAGGGAAGGGATCCACGTGCAGGTGCTGTCTGTAAGCAGAGAGGTGTCTGTGTGCTCTGCCGGGGCAGGAACAGAGGCTGGAGCTCTTCCTGGGGTCTGTCCCGTGGTGGTCTGTCCTTGTCATCCTGTCAGCCTTGTCATCTCCTTTCCCAAACTGCCCAAGCCTTTGAAGAGCACCACATCATTTAGCCCAGTGGCTGTGCCAGGGCAGGAGCTGTCACCTCCCTCCCAGCTAAATTCATTCCCGGCCAGTTTCTAAAACCACGTCTCTGTGTCAGTGCTGTTCTTCAGCTTCACTTTATTTTTTTTCTCCCCATGCTGTTTACTCAGTCTCTGGGGTATTTATAGCTGGCCATGGATCACCTGATAGCTTTTCTCCTTCTAGGATAGGAAAACTGAGCCCCCCCGGCTCTTGCTGCGGCAAAGGGTTCCCGTGATCCCAAAGAACCTCCGAACCCTCCTCATGCTCCTCCCTGTCAGTTTGTGTTTCTTGGACACAGCAGCCAGGTCTGGGTGCTGAGGTCTCCTTGTCTTGTGCTGCCTCAGCCTTCTTCTACCTCTGTTAAACACCTGGCACCGAGCCAGGTTGCCTTGTTTTCTTTGGAAGTTTTGTTTGTTTGTTCGCATTGGCTTAAATCCACTTTCCAGCTGTTGAAACGTTTGATCCCTCTCGCACAGCCAAGGCTGAGGAGTTTCCTCTTCCCGCCCACCGCGGGGATGGAGTGGTGGGGACACGTCCGTCTGTCTGGGGCCCTCTGCTTCCTCTGGGGTGTTTACCTGCTACAAATGCTGTTTTCATCTCCTTTGGCTGAGAAAATATCCCCTATAAAGATTCTAGGGATTTATGGTCCTCTGACCCAGAACCTCCCTAATGAGGGATGGATTCATGGGAGGTCTAGAAATACCTCAGAGGAATGCTGTGAAAAATAATTTTACAGAAGAAAAAGAAGGCAGAGTCGTGGTGAAGTCAGATGTGAAGCTGGCTTGTAATGATATTACTTTATTTCATGAAACTGGGCAGTGTGATCAACAGGTTTAGTGAGGGGATTGTCCCCCTTTACTCTGCTCACCTAAGACACCACCTGGAGCTGTGAGAATTCCAACATAAAAAGGACAGGGATGTGCTGGAGCAAGGCCAGAGGAAGCCACAATGATGATCAGAGGCTGGAGCAGCTCTGCTATGGACAGGCTGAGAGAGCTGGAGGTGTTCAGCCTGGAGTAGAGGAAACTTCATAGCACTTCAGTCCCTAAAGGGGATCCAAGAGAGCTGGAGAGGGACTTTGGGCAAGGGATAGAGTGACAGGACAAGGGGGAATGGCTGACAGAGGGCGGGATTAGATGGGATTTTAGGAAGAAATTCTTGGCTGTGAGGCCCTGGCACAGGTTGCCCACAGCAGCTGTGGCAGCCCCACCCCTGGAACTGCCCAAGGCCAGTTTGGATGGGGCTTGGAGCAACCTGATCTGGTGGAAGGTGCCCCAGGAGGTGGAATGAGATGATCTTTTAGGTTCCTTCCAACCAAACCTTTCTGTGACTCTTTGAATGAGCTGGGCCATCTCAAGTGCTCATTGCCCCTGTCCAGCTGTGCCGTGAGGGCGGTCATCCCTGGGCTGAGCTGGACGCCTGTTCCCAAAATACCCTTTTAACGGGGTGGAGCAGCTTCTCAGGGCTCTCCTTGAGCAGGACAGGCAGATTTCACAGACGGATACCGTACGCAGGGCAGAGGAGCAATGCCGGGTGCCGTTCCGCACGGCTGTCCTCACTCAGAGCGGCTGCCGGGGCCGGCGGAGAGCGCAGCGAGCCCCGCGGGGCGTTCCCGCTGTCCCCGGGCGGGGGAGCCGCATCCCGGTCTGGTCGCTTTCCCTGGAAGGAAGCGCTCGGGTGTGTGTGTCTGTGTGTCTGTGTGTGTGTGTGAGGGTACTGGGGGCACCTGCACAGCGGGAGGGGTCCCGGGGGATATCGAGGCGTACGCAGGAGCGCCGGGGGAATCGCGGCGAGTCCCGCAGGAGAAAAGGATCAAGGGATACCTGAGGGCGGGAGGTACCTAGCGGAGTAGAGACCGGAGGTTACCGGGAGAAGGTGTCAGGGGGTACCGTGGGATTCCACGGGAAGATACGGGGAGGTCCCGGGAGGGGATATCAGGGATCCCGTGAGGGGATCACGGGGGA